GAGTTACGCACTCTCTGAGGGAACCCATTCCAAGACATAAACTTTCTAAGCTTCATAACTTGCTGGTCAAACAACTGAGCGTTGCTACAGATTTTATGTGCACGAGAAAACAACGCTTTGACCCAAGCAGTTTTGAAGCGCCACGGGGCGAAACTATCAAAGAAAGTGTATTGTCCAGTATGAGTATCCTCTTAAGTGTGTTGACATACTTATGGTTGAGAAAATCAAGTTTTGAGTCCCTTTTAAACTGACGATTTTTTCGGCAACTTTTGCTGCAATTGTTTTCGGACAATTTTTAAAAAACATAATAGATTTTGCCTTATACCTCTGAGAAGACGTTTAGCTAACTCCTCTCAGTGTTCTGAATAAAAGTTGAGAAGTCTAAAAAAGCATTGTTTAGGATCAAAATAAACACAAAAACCGACAGGGAAAACTTGCATCAGAAGTGTATTTTCTCAGTTTATAAATTGTTCTCGTTAATATTCATGATTTCCGGTACCAGCTTAAACAGAGTATGATTTCATTACACATTTTTTTTCTTTACAACAGCTTATTCCATTTGGTGCTGACAACGGTGATATTATGGTGCCTCAAGGGGACGATTCAACAAACTCGGGCAAAGTCGATATTTCGACAGCTTTTCGTTTCTTTGGCCGGAAGTTTACTTCTTTGTATGTAAGTAACACAACATACACTTATATTTATTTTCAAGCAGTATCGGGGCAATGCAAGAAGTCATTGCAGTAAAGTCCAGTTTGATATTACCGAGACACTGGTGAAAAACGCACTGCGCATGCCCACAGCTTTCCCGCCAGTGGGCGCTCGCGTCTTGAAATCTGTAAACAGAGCGCCTGGCGATTTTACAGCGACAACACAGAAAATACTACGAAAAACCTCATTTTCTCAAAATAGAAATACCAAGATAAAAATAGAAACTACATACTAAAAGGACCTATCATGAACAATGATTGATGGAAATATGAATCTTATATATCGGTGAACGAGCTTATAAATTGTAAAAAACTTTCACAAAAATCGCTTTACAAAGGAAATTAGGCAAATTTAGCGGGAAAGCTGTGGACATGCGCAGTAGGTTTTTCACCAGTGTCTATTACCGATATTTGTTTGTCAAAAGATATTGATTTTACTTTCCGTGCGGTTTTCACGTCTGATGCAGAAGCTGCATAGGGCTGCAAACTCTACAAAGGTGAAGAGGGTTTGGTCCGTTTGCACGGCTGCTAAATTTAAACATTTTGTGGAATTGTATTTTACACGTCTTAAAGCTTTTAAATAATTTTTAAATAATTTTGGATGTCGGCTACATAATGGAGTCGTGCATCTTGCATTTGCCACACACCATGGAACTCGCGGCCATTTGTGATATTTAAAATTTTTCTTCCGCTTCCTTTGTTGTTCCTCAACTGTGTTAAGCACGCATCATCTTTCACTACATTTATTATAGGTCAACATAAATGGAGTTATCACATTCAAAAACTCATTTTCGAATTATGTGCCAAAACGGTTTCCATTTGATGATACTGTTATGATCGCTCCATTCTGGACTGATGTTGATACCAGGAAGGGAGGTGCTGTATGGTACAGACAAAACACTTCCAAAAACGCCCTAAAAGTGGCATCAACCGACGTGAGAAAGGCTTTCCCAGAATTCCCACGATTCTTGGCAATATGGATGTTTGTTGCTACTTGGGAGAAAGTGACATTTTATGGAACCACAAATGAGGTACATACTGTATAACCTCCGTATTGCATGGGATATATACCTCCAAGTAAAGAGTGGGTGAAGGTTTTTTGAATCGCAAACAATAGAGTGCTTCGATATGCATCCGTGTCAAACGTATCGCTTCTGTGCTTTTATGGTATATCTTTATATCCGTTTGCTGGTGATTTTCTCTTTATTATTGATATCGTCTTTTGACAGTGTCAGTGTTTCTGCTTTTATAATAGATTTATATTTTCTTTATTTTCATAACTCCAGAACATCACTAACACCTTCCAGTCAGTATTGCTAACCGATGGCCGCTACTCGTTCGTTCGTTTTAACTACCATAACATCACGTGGACTTCAGCGACAACAAATGGAGGCAACGCCAAAAATGGCCTTGGCGGAAATGAAGCAGGGGTATATATAGCATATTAGCTATGAACCAATATAGTGAACCAATAGCATTGCTTGACGATACAGATTAATAACATCCAACTGATATTAAGACATTCATAAAGCATACAACACAATGGAAGATCAGAGGCCAAATTCATGTATCGCTTCAACTAGACCTAATAAAAAGACTTAGAAGGAATCGCTTGAATGCGACACAAATTATTAGAAATAAAATATGTTGTATGAGATCAAATATATGGTTGTAGGTCGGTCTATTCATTATGATTTAAGCGTTACTTCAACCTACGTAAAGTTTATTTATTATAATGTTGTTTTGCAAACTGTAACGATTTTTCATTCAGTCTTGATAATGGCTCGGTGAGCCGAAAGCTCGACTAAAATAAATAAACTTTTAGGTTGAAGTAACGCCGCTTAAATCATAATGATGTATGAGATTTATGTGCAAATGCATTTGATTTGTTTATCGAATATAATTATTCTCTTTTCTTCCTTTCTAAAAGTGTGGACTCAACGCTGGATTTGGTAACTATTCCTACGATGTAACGGATAATGTCTATCGAAAAATTAGCGTACTGGATCTTCCTTTCAAAACAAATTTCAACGAACCAGGGGCGTGGATGTTCAGGACAGACGAGAGCACAGTTCACGAAGGACGAGCGATCCTGTAATGTCTTGGTCAATTAGCCGATAACAAAACGACCAGGGGCCTGGGACTGAAAATTTTAAAAGTGCTACAATCTTACAGAAATCTGTTGTTGATDGAYRAAGCACATATRAWTTAGCTAAACTTTAAAGTTTGAGCAAGTTTAAGTCATTAGAATTGGGAATATAATTTTTCAAAAATTTCGAAAATTACAAAGAATGTATGTTTGGCTGGACGCTTTGGCTGGACACCATACATTTCTTTGTAATTTTGGCATGGTTTGAATGTCCATAACTTTATTGCTATAAGTTCAAACATCATGAAACTTAGTCAGTAAGCCTTTTATAAGGTGATCTTTCACATGATGGGGTTATTCTTTCTGGAACCATTATTTAATTAGATTTGGAAGTTCGTATCCAGTCCCTTTTTCGTTTTGTTATCGGCCAATAAGCGCAAACGCACGAACCAGACATGCGTATTTTCCCCTAATGCTTCAGGCGAACATATTCCTACGTGTGCTGTTATACTTATTATTGCGTATATGTGAAATCAGTGTTTAACGTAATATTTTCTTAGTCTACTTATTTTACTTGATGGCGAATCAGTTTTTTTTATTAGGGACAGTATTCAGATCGATTTCTTCACAATAATCAATCTTTTTGAAATTTGAGGATGAAAATTGTTAATTTAGTATATCTCAGGTAGGACAGGAGAAGGGGGGTTACAGCCACCCTCCACCTGGATCCGTCCTTGCAACCTTTTGTCAAGATTCAGTGTGAATAAAGGACAATTAAAATTGAATGGAACAGTCATCAAATAGTATAGCAAGACGTCAAAATAAACGATTGTCCCGAGTTGAAATATTTTCATATCAACATTTTTTTAAAAACTGTGATTTAAAGTTATAGCTGTATGGTCATTTTAAAACTAGAAATAAAAAGCCTTTCATATCTCTAATGAGTCTTCTGGTATTTAATTCTACACAGACAATGCGAATTACTTATTTTGTGTACGTTACCTTACATAGCATAGAATCCCCCATTTATCAAGCATTGCCTTACTGGGATACAACAACAAAAATCCATTTTCCTCGTCTTTTCCTCGTTTTGTCGCTTGTTTAAAACTAGACTCAAAATCGGTACAGTTACTTAAACGTAAATTAATTCACTAAATTAGCTTTTAGGAATTATTATTACTATTATAATTATTATTCAGTATTCAGCTTTGCTTTTTTACGACATTTCGTTTAGTTCAGTAATTGGCGTTTGACTTGACAATTCCTGTCAAATTTCAAACAGGTTAGAGGAGCCCAGGCCCCAGTCTTCGATCATCATATATACTCGAATATTTGCGAGTACAAGCTTAGTATATTCGACGATCTGGTCATGATAACAATGTCCTTTCTTTTCATACAAATTATCCTTGCACTTCCATATGCATCTATTGCCTTGGATTCAGATCACTTCATTGACTATGGTACAGACAGTGGTGATCGGGATGTATTGAAAGATAAGAAAAAAATCAATATTTCGACATCTTTTCCTTTCCTGGGCAAGAACTTTACATCCTTGCATGTAAGTAAACAAGACAGAAAATGCTATTTTTCTAGATGGATCATTACAGTTTTTTTTAATTATTCACTTATTTCTTAAAAGGGATTATTTATACTGTATTTGATTCATAAGATATCTAATAAGATGCAGTAATTAATGAGATTTCTAGTCTCCTTTCCCTTATAACCACCCCTCACCACTCCCCACGTCAACTTCCTAGTAGTCAATTTGAGGAAGTTGGCCTCTGTCTCGAAATTTTAAAGTATTGAGGCACCTCTTTATCTCTCATTACAAATGAACCTCATTGTACATGTTTTATCTCATCCACAACAGTTTTTTAATTGCGTAAATATTTTTGACCGAGGTCTTGCAATATAGCGCTAAAATTGTAAGGGCCTAATCAAAGCTAATTAGACAGTGAAACATTGGTGCACGTATAGCTTATTCGTAACCAGAAATAAAGTTTCGTGTTTAGAATTAATGTTTCATTATGATTCAGTTTTGTATTGTAGATAGTCCAAATTGGGAATGCGGTTTCCCGGCAGATGACACGACCACACAGTGTTGACATGCATGATATGACAGAATCAAGCCGCCAATGGCGAGACAACTCGAAGATTGTTAGACAAGTATACCGTGGACATAAATCTATATGAAGCCTCAGACGTTGTTCGGATATGGTCTAATTTTTTTATAGCTTATAAAAACCTATCACATCAGCTTTCTAACAAAGACGTAACATTGTCTAATATTTCTCATCTTGGTAGGCGAAAAAAATTGAATTTGTCTAATAAAAATTCTTCGCAAGTAAAACCAGAATACCGGAACAAAATCAAAGCATAGGTGAAGCAAATCGACGAATACCAGTGGGATTTTGAAAATTACTATTACGATCTATTACACTCTAATTATTACACTTTGTTTCAGGAGTTTATGAAAACCACTATAAGAACAGAGTGGGTTTTTTAATGATAAGATTACTTTAGTTATTATAGCCGAGTTTCTCGGCACTTAACACCATTCTTTATTTTACCTCAGTGTCAAAGTGCGAGTATTATAAGTCATCTTACTTGCAGGTAGAAAAATTCCAAGAAGGAGGAATATCATTCGAAGGAGCTACAATTGCTCCTTTCATCGCACAATATAATACAAGCAAAGGAGGCAATGTATGGTATAGAGAAAACGCCACTAAAAACTTGGCATCCAATGCCGTGGCATCCAATGACGTAAGAACGGCTTTCCCAGAATTCTCGAATTTCTCGGCAAAATTGATGGTGGTGGTTACTTGGGAGAAAATTCCATTTAATGTTAGTGAGGTATGTATCGTCTGACGAGGATTTCAATGAATTAGTTTTACCGGATATGATCATATTCTGTTTAATCGACTAGTACTTGGACGTTCCTTGCAAGCGGGAGCTTGCTCGCTAAATCGTGTGACCAATGCTTTAAAATTTCACAGCGGATTCTCTTGCGCAAGATTAAGTACTATAGTCGTAAAGATTTGAGTTTTCTCCCATTCGAGGCTAAGCCTGTATTCCCTGAAGCCTTATACATTCGGTCGCCTCCCCTTTAGTACATTCAGTAGAAATGCATTGCTCTTAGACCTTCTTCTACATCAAGACAGGTTATAGGGCAAGAGGTAGCGCTCTAAAATTACGAATTTTATAGTGTGCAGACTTAATCCTGTACTACGCAATGTCGCAATGTTTGCATAATTTAAAGTTAAACGTTTATTTCCTAAATGCCCTTTTATTATAATGATTGCAATTGCTGTTGGCATCTTTTTACTTTGTGTTTAGTATCCTATTATTAGTATTTTGACTTGTCTTGATTTCAGAACATCACCAACACCTTCCAGTCGGTACTGCTAACCAATGGTCAGCATTCGTTTGTTCGTTTTAGCTACCGCAATTTTACATGGACAAGTGAGGGCAAAAACGTGGTATTCAACAAAATCAAACCAACGGTATCTAGCAAAATAGTTTTGATTTTACTTTGATAATTAAGGTTTTTATTGTGATAGCATTATCACTGATACATGTCGTCTAAGCAGATTACTTTCTAGATGAAATTCAAAACATTACGATCAACTTCCTGTGGTAACAGAGACCAGGAGGCTTGGGAAGTGCGAAGGAAGGAGGGGTACCAAACAACTATCCTGCAATGTCTTATTTTGCTTTTTAGATTTCCTGGTAAAATTTCAACTAAGATAATGCAACCAGGACGTAAAAACAGATACTCGAGAAGGCACGAAGGCAGTCAATCACTCCGCTTGACTGTTTTTTTTCTATTAACAAAATAACTTAGACAATGAGTAGTAGAGCAGAGTCACATGAACCATGAAATAAGAACTAAAAAGTACTAACTAATAGGGACTATTAGTTCCTAATAGTCGTTAGCACTGAACGAGAACTACAGTTTATTTGATCCAATAAGCAATACCCAAGAGACCACTTTAACAATCAAAGTAATCTCTTTGTACTGTTCTGGTTCAGTGATAGTGTCTAAATAGTGCCTATTAGGTACTAAGTATTTAGTTTCTATTTCATGGTTCAAGTGACTCTGCTCTATGCAATCGATCTAATTTTGTATTGAATATTGTTGTTTTTTTTTCTATTGGTATAGAGTGCATTCGAAAATACGAACTTGACTTCTGATTACAGCGTAACTGATAATGATTATCGAAAGATAAAAGTATGGGACCTCCCTTCCAAAACAAATGTGGGAAAACCAGGAGTTTGGATGTTCAAGACAGACGGAACCAGAATACAAGAACCCTCTCCAGCAAAAGGCACCACAACACAAGAACCGTCTACATCAGAAGAGCTCAGTACAGTCAGCAACATAACACAAGAAACTTCCACAACACAAGACAACACAACACAAGAACCAAGAACAACCTCAGCAGCGAGTGGATGCAGTGACATGAAATATCCCATAAACCCATTTTGTCTTATTTTTGTACTGTACAATATTTTCGTATTATGAATGTCAAAACAAAAATATGGCAAACAATTTAATTAGCTGCATTAACGCCGATTGTTGCGAAATGAAAAGCCATGGAAAAATAGCTTTTGTAGTTCTGCAGGAGAAAGTAGATACTTAGAAGAGAAAGCTTGCTTTAATGTATCAGTCAAGTGAAGGAGAGGGGGGGGGGGGGGGGGGGGGGAGGGGTCTTCTGTCTTATATTGAAATAGCCGAAAATGTCTCTTCCACCGAACTTGGTACGGTATAGGGGGCCCTGGTTTCATTTGATTGATGCATAATTGATTTGTCTTCTATTTTTCGAATCAGTCAATGGCCGCCTTTAACATGACATTTTTCTTCAGAGTTAGACTAACACATCACGTTAATATGTTATTATACATTTTATCTGCGAGGACATTGTTGTTCTAGGTGCATATTCTAAGAAGCTGGAAAGTACAGTATAGTAGTACACTATCCAAACAGTTGGAATGCCGTGCCCGATCCGTTTGGGATTCGTTTTCTTGCAGACTGTCCTTCCTTGAAGAGACGCTGTAATGCATATTATTGCTGAGTAGCTGAATACGTAACTAAGACTTGTAGTTTAGAAAACATAATAAAGTTCCATGAATAAAAAAAATCATAGGATTTTTGAAGTAATGGCTTATGTCTTAAGCGTGGATTTCACTAGCGCATAAGCATAGGCATAAGCACGAAGCTCGAGAGTCATATGCGCCAGTGAGAACGGTCTCAAAATAAGCATAAGCATGAGCACAAGAAAAACGAGCAAGGCTTGATCTTCTTGTGCTTATCTCATGCTTATGCTCAGTGAAAACGGGACTGCATAGGCATAAGCATAGTCTGGTACCGAAATAATACGCTTGTGCGCATGCTCAATGTCTTATGCTTATGTCGAGCCCGTTCTCACTGGCGCAAGTAGTAATGTCAGTCACAGGATGGCGCCCCGTTAATGTATTCAAAATGGCGGCTCGTTAATGTATTCAAAATGGCGGCTCGTTAATGTATTCAAAATGGCGCCTTACCGGAAATGGCGTTGATGTATTCAAAATGGCGCTGAACCGGAAGTGACGCGCTGTCTTTTGATTGACATCAAGAAAATGCTATTAATTTATTCAAAATGGCAGCCAACCGGAAGTGACGTAACACGATGGTTAATTGATTCAAAATGGTGGCCAACCGGAAGTGACGCAATAAGACCACATAAGGGTGGGGGTAGGGTGCCCGCAGTCAAACAAAAAATCTCAATTCTGTAGGAACGAACGGTACACCTCCTTCAACGATGGAATACAC